CACACACACACACTCACACACACACACTCACACACACACACACTCACACCATTCATTTAATAAGTACCATTTCACAAGAAAATGTACATTTTCTCCATTACTTTCCTCCCGTAGTTTAGGATAAGCTCCAGGCCCCATGACTTTTCTGCTTTGAGAAGCCCTTGCATTGCCGTATGCTCTTCATACTCACCTCCATTATGCTGGGCTCAAAGGGACAATCAGGGGGACGTAAAAGCCATGGCTTGTCTTCTAAAGCTGATCTGGTGCCTGTGGTCAGGCAGGGAAATGGTGGCCCCGACCTCAGAGCGGTCCCCATTGAGGCCAGGTTCTTGAGGCACGGTTCTTGGTTCATGTTCTTTGCCATAGCTTCACTCTGCAACCCTCTTGCTGACTATGGTTACCTGCACAGCTACACTGAGTATGAGCACATTGCTGAGAGAGAAACTATGTCAGATCTGTCTGTATCCTGAGGGAGCAAGAACAAATGGGAGAGAGAGAGGAACTCGCCTCATCTCGGGAGACATGATACCAGAAATAGATGTGGGTGTATGAATGAATGAGAAGAATGGGAAGTGCATCCATGTGAGTTTGCCTGCAAATGTGTTTAACTGCTGTTTTACGCAATTTAATATAAAATATGCGCATCCATGTGTAAATAGTCGAACATGTGTGTGCATCAACAATTGTAGTAAGATGAAGAAATATCCATCCATCAACATGACTGCTTAATCCAAAATGGGGTCACCGGAGCCTATCCTAGGAACAAGGGGCACAGGTGGGAGCCAGCCCTGGGCAGTCACCAACACACCACAGGGTGCACACACTCAAGGGCGGGGCCAACTTAGAATCACCAATTAACCTACTGCACACACTTTTGGACTGTGGGAGAAAACCAGAGCCCCTGGTGGAAACCCATGCAAACTCCAGACAGGGAGGACCTATACCCAACCTGGGGACTGAACCCAGAACCTTCTTGCTGTGAGGCAGCAGCACTAACCACAGCACCACTGTGGTGACTTACCAACTGGTCTAGAGGAGGAAGAAGAAGAAGAGAAATTTATATATATATATATATATATATATAGAGAGAGAGAGAGAGAGAGAGAGATTAGTTGACTATATATAGATTTGTCATTTTTTCTACACTTGTCATTCTCCTGTCTCTTCATCCAGCTTCCTCCAGTGCTGATTTATCATGTTAATTCCGAGTACCTCAAGCACAAGGAAAACCCCCAAAGCGCTTTCTTTGGGAGTAGTGCATGTAAGTATATGTGTGTATGTTAGTCATGCACTGTTGAAGTAACCAGAGCTTCTTCCTTCTAGATTTAGATATTCCTCTCACCTTTTGATGTAAAAGTCAGTCTGCTGGGCTGTGTTATGTACGCCGATCAGCCATAACATTAAAATCAACTGGCCACTATTGTGTAGGTCCCCCTCATGCCGCCAAAACAGCTCTGACCCTTCGAGGCATGGACTCTACAAAGACCTCTGTTGTTCCTTAAACCATTCCTGAACCATTTTTGCAGTGTGGCAGGGCACCTTATCCTGCTTATAGAGGCCACTGCCGTTGGGGAATACCATTGCCATGAAGGGGTGTACTTTGTCTGCAACAATGTTTAGGTAGGTGATATGTGTCAAAGTAACATCCACATGAATGGACCCAAGGTTTCACAGCAGAACGTCGCCCAGAGAATCACACTGTCTCCCCCGGGTTGCCTTGTTCCCATAATGCATAGGCAACACAAGGCTGTCAGACGCTGAACTGCAAGATGCATACACGGTGGAAGATTTACACACGCTAAATACACGCGAGGATCGGACCAGGTACACACAAGACATGGGCAAATAGGGAAAAGCAACCATTAACATTAACAACAAGAACAATACAAGGGCTTTAAGGACTTTTAATAAAGAGCGTGATTTCCCTGGCAAGCAAATCTCCGTCTCTCTCTGCTCCCACGACGCCTCGGTCCAAAAAAATCCAGAAAATTATTTAACAAAAAATATTTTCTGGCAGGTTAGTGAACGAATTAATCGAATTTCAGTGCTTTCTTATGGGAAAAATTGCCCTGGTTCACGTACAGATTGGTTTGCGACCACTTTCCTGGAACAGACTGTGTTCGTGAACGGCAGGCAACACTGTATATAAAAGCATAATTCAAAATGGTAGGAATATTATTGCGTATATGTAATTAATCCCAACTTTTGCCTAACCGTAAACTTCAGCTAATAGTTACTTCATATTCATTGTGGATGGAGGGGGAGGGGGGCATTGGAGATGTCCCACAGTATTTTTAGGGTTAGGGTTAGGGTTAAGGTTAGCAACAAACATTATTTTGTTACAAAAACTACTTACCAACTCTCACATGGGCTTCTCTCCACCACAGCAAGCTATACATGATGAATGCTTCCTGAATTTATGGTCACATGACCAAAAATACACACAGTTCCTTACATACAAGGGGTGGGTCAACTTAACCACTGTCTCATCTTACCGCTCTCCCCTATATTATGTAATATATCACATATGTTTCATTGAATATTGTTGATAGTTTGTATTGTCATTCATTCTACTCTATATTTTCCATTTAGCTTATGCATATATAACTATCCTCTGAACCTTTATAATAATGTCTGGTATGCAGTGCTCGTGTCTAAATTGCTGCTTTTCTGCACGAGACTCTTCACACATTTTCGGTTTTTTATTCAATGCCAATACAAGTATGACTCATGGCTTGATTTTGTGCCAATTTTGGAGATCCACCAGGGGGCAGCACAGACCAACAAATTACAGTAGACATATATACGGTATGTATAATCGCAAGCTGAAAGTTCTAAAAATTGTACCTAACGGGGTCAATTTTGAACCAAACTTGGCACAATCATTCTACGGCATATGCCGAATGAGTCGGCAAAATATGGTGTAATTTGGAGAACCTACTGGTAACTTTGAGCATTTCATGTAAATTAGCACTGAATTACCAACGAAATACCAAGTTTCCATCTTAAAAAGTACAAAATCAAGAATAACTTGGAAAATCCTGTCATGTAAATTGTGTCTTGCTTAGTCAAAGCACTACAAAAAGCAAAAGCAAGTGTAGCATATTTCACAAAATCACGGAAAAAATGTAGTGCAATGAAGACAAGTTTCCAGAATAAAAAGTAGGAAATCAAGGGTAAGTTGGAAATGTATGCATAGGCCTCATTGTAGTGGTGGGCAATATGATGATAATATATTGCGACCAGTTGCAACTGCATACACGATAAGTGTTTCAGAGTTTTTATAAGAATCAAAATATGTCATACGTCGCTTTCTCCCTCCCCCACCCCCCCTCTGCGGAGGACTACTTTATTTGTATTTATTTATTTATTTTATATTTTTATTTAGTTCCTCAAAAGAAGGAGAGGGAGGGGGGGGGAAACAAAGGAGAAG